GAGGGGAGCTGTGGTACTCTTTTTCCTTGACCGGAATTTCCTCCCTTGGGGGTTTTTAAAGGCAAGGTTTTAATGAGGCCACTATTTTGCTCCTCTAGTTTTTTTCCTTCCCTTTTTTAGGTTGTATTCTTCGATGTTTTAATCAATGAATTATTTTTCTAATAAAAAAATAAGTTCGAATCCTTATGACACTTTGATAGTGTGTGTGAAAAACTCATCTCCTTGCTTTTCGTTTGGATGAAGAAATTGAAAATTACATAAAATTTTAAAGTGACAGAATTTAGATTTCCATCATTTCAATTTCTAGAAATTGAAGACTTCAGTGTTTGGATTTATGTATGTCAAATTTTGTAAATGACATAAATTGAAAATTTTATTGTTTGGATAGCTCATGTAAATTGTAAATGACAAAAATTAAATATTTCAAAAAATTGATTTCTAACTCATAACTCACATTTGTGTCAAAAGAAAAAAAAACTGATAACAGACATAGAATGTATTCTACGAAGAGGAAAATAATATATTGTTTGATGAACTACATAAGTCAACTTATTGAAAGAAAGAAAAACAAAGCATATTATCAGACTAAAAAAACAGAGCATATTAGCAAACCAAATCACTCTCCATGTGCAATAAACATCAACAACATACTCTTCTTTTTTTTTCTCAATTGGGAGTGCCTTCAACATCTGATTTGATGCAGAGGACATATAACTCAAGAAGAACTCTTTCTCCTTCCTTCTATGGTTTGCATCTTTTAGATTTGGCATAAGATAATTTGTATAGAGGAGTGTTATCATAAGTTTTGGCGTTGCTTTTCCTAAGTTTTGGCACACTTGAAAATATGAATTCCAACACTATGAAAATTGTGAAATGAAGCCTATTTTGGTGGAAATTAAACTTGGAAATTGAATGCCCCAATTTCCACATTTTTTTATGTGTGTCATTTAATAAATTTCGCGCTTACGTTGCCAAACAAGGGAATTGTCAATTTCTCATCTTAAATTCCCGAATTTTAACTAAATTCGGAGTTATTCTTCCTTATCCAAACCGAGGGTTGTAATTTAGACTATCATTTGTATTATAAAAAAAAACGTGTAACTAGAAAATAACCACATAATGTTACAAATCAACAGTAACATCCATACATATTAGGCTTTTTATCACAAAACGTCCCTGACGTTTGCAAAACGATCAGATTGCATCCTTAAAGTTTTTTTGTATCACTCATGATCCCTAACGTTAATATAGGTGCTCTTAAATAGTCCCTCAGTCAAAAAATCTGTTAAATCCATGGATATAATCGTCAAATCAATCCAAAATTATAATATATATATATATTTTATTTCCCTTCCCTCACGTTCAAAGTCAAAAGTGCTATCTTTTGTGGCTGCCGCACACGATTTGATGGCCAGGCACGCCTTTCTTCCTTACTGCATTTTAATGAACACACTTCATCATCTGGGTAGGTGGGCATTGAATGAATGAAATCAACCAAAACATCTTGCACCTTACATGATGGCTGCCATTTATCCAGTCGCAAACAGATCTTGATATGGGTTTTGAAATCACCATTTTCTGTCAAAGGTATGATTGAAGGAGGCTTAAATGGGTATTTCCTCGGAAATAGGACACGCCCATGATAAATCCCACCCTCGAATTCAGTTCCGCTAGCGCCTCTGACTGCAAATTGCCATTGAAATTTTTTCGGCTCGAGCTAGCCGCACATGAACTCGATCCACCACAAACACCTCTTCCAATTAGCAAAACTTCAAATATATACAATTATTCTCACAATACGAGCGAAGAGATGAGGAAAAATGGCCGGCTGTGTTTGTATGCAGGGCTCCTCATGCAGAGTAAATATGCAGATCTTGTTGCTATTTCTTTAGAGCAAATTCAAAAGCTTAGATGGATTTGAAGTTCAAGGCTCTCACAACTTACAGTGACAGAGAAGAAGAGGCAAAGCTTTAACTGTTTGAGAGTTGGACAGAACTAGTCTAGAGATGTCTATTTGGCTGGGGACATCTTTATTTTATACGTAAAAAGGAGAGAAACAGAGAGAGAAGAGATGAGGAATCTGGCGGAGAGAAAGAAGAAGAAGAAAAGAAAGAGAAAGAAGAAGAAGAAGGAAAGAGAGAAGGGAAGGAAATTTTTAAAAAAATATTTTTTATGATTTTGGATTGATTTGACGATTATATCCCTGGATTTAACAGATTTTTTGACAGATGGACTATTTAAGAGCACCTATATTAACGTTAGGGACGATGAGTGATACAAAAAAACTTTAAGGATGCAATCTGATAGTTTCGCAAACGTCAGGGACATTTTGTGATAAAAAGCCTACATATTATAACACAAAAATTACTCAACAATATTATATATATCAGAAATTGGTCAATGGTCTAATTATATTCTCTCTTCATTTTATTGAAGAAGATTCTAATTCCAAGCATAGTTTTTTTTTTATTGAATAACAAAAAGGGCTAAGAATTCTTAAATTGTTATTAAAAATATTTGAATTGTACTCGGTTCTTGTAGCTCAAATGATTAAGAACTGTTATCATTTAATTTGAATTCCTTCCTTCGCTTTACCCTTCCTCTAACATCGCTTTTATATATTAAAAAAATAGTTTGCTTAATGTTAATGCAAACCCGTGCATGGTATATAGGGGATAATTACACTGCATCTCATCTTCCACTGACCATATCCACATAGTTAGTTACATTTCTTTAGTTTTTGGTATACTTGTAAATGTGTTTTGACTAATCAAAGCAAATTTCGTTTTCTTGAAATGTCAACACAAGTGGCTAGAGAAAATTGGGTGCCCATAGAATGACTATCGTTAATATACCCCATATTTCCATGCATGTATTAGTTCTGGGCCGGCAGCCCAAAATTATTGGGCTGCCCCGAATGGTCTGAGCCCAAATTATCCCAACCAACCAGTCGAGTCAAAGTAAAAGACTACAACAGAAGAAGAACCATTTTCGTCTCCAACGCACACACACATACTCTCTCTCTCCGTCGTCTCTACTCTGTAGACTCTAGCAATGGATCGCGCACAGATTCTTCTGTTAGGGTTACCGCTCTTCCTCTTCTGCACCGACCTCCTAAACCTCTTCGCTCCACCTCCACCTCCGCCCCATAAGCCTCCCCACCATCACCATCACCACCACCACCTTGAACACCAACCATCACCAGTTGCCAAAGAAACCCTAGACTTCCCCTCACAGGTACTTCAAACTAATTTTCTGTTTTCCAAAATTGATACCCTCGTTTTCTTCATGCGCTGATTTGATTTTTATTGAATTTCAGAAACCAAGCGCTGTTGGACTCGGAGCCGGCAGCACAGTCAAGATTAGTTTCTGCACCTCTTGCTCTTACAAGTACTTGTCTTACTTCTTTTCTGCCTTTCTCGTATTGGGTCTTTCATTTTGTGTCAAATTATTATATTCACCTGCTTCATAGATTTTGGCTTGTATATGTTGTGTTTATGATGTGAGATGATAAAAGATCAATTTGAACAGCTATTCAATAGAAATTTTGGAATGTTATTCTGATCCTGGGCTTTGTCCTCCAACCCATTAAATGCTCTTGATTTATATGTTAGCTCCCAATTTGTGTTCCAAAAGAGATATGTGATGTGCTACTTGGTTTGCCATTCACATGTTAGATTGAATCATGGAAAAAGAATTGAGCTATGTTTACTTATGAGTAGAGTTGGTTTTGGTAGGGGGAATGCAGTAACAATAACAAAGATGTTGGAGTCTTCTTTTCCTGGAATTCATGTCGTTCTTTTGAATCACCCCCCACCCCTTCCAAAGCGTGTGCTCAGCAAGTTGGTTCCCGTTGCTCAAGTTGGAGTTTTTGGGATAGTAATGGCGGGCGAGCAAATTTTTCCAATGTTGGGGATTATGACACCCCCTCCTTGGTACCACTCTCTGCGTGCAAATAGATTTGGGACCATCGCATCCACTTGGCTTCTTGGCAATGCATTGCAGTCCTTCCTCCAAGGCACTGGTGCTTTTGAAGTTTTCCTCAACGATGAATTGGTGGGTGAACCCTTTTCGTTTGTTCGGCCATATGTGTGCTTTGAACTAGAATTTCATTGCTATTCAGTTATTTTGTTTGGTGAATACATGCGTTGGCCTTTTCAATAATGCTTTTCTTTAGTGGTGCGTATGATTGACTGTAGCTTCTGTGCTCTTGTATATTCCAGGTTTTCTCTAAGCTGAAGGAGGGAAGATTCCCAGGTGAGATTGAACTAAGGGATGACATCGCTGCAAAGTTGGGTAGTTCAAGAATCACAGATGGCCTTGGAGCTGCAGCTTTATGGTCCTAGTCTTTCAGTTGGGTTCGGAAAGTCTGAATCCTTACTGTTGGAGTTGTAATCTTGCATAAGTTCAAGACTCAAAGCTGGTTGCGTAGTAGGTTCAAGGCTTCAAGCTGGGTGGTGCCATGACTTGTTACCTGTCATACAAAGTACAAACCTCAATAGAATGTTTTGCAGATGGGTTGTGACTATGATAATCTTATTCTGCATATTAACCGAGACAGGCTGAAACTTGTTAGGCAATTTCGTTTGATGGAATATAATTCCCGTGTTTACTCAAAATTGGGATTGTACACTGGTTTTAATTTTCCATTTTGCATGTATTTAGTATATTTTACCACAGACCCAAAACTCCACTATGAACAAGCTCCAGTTTTGTTCTTGAAATTCAACTTGTGCGTGCTTTTGCAATTTGCTTGAGTTTGTGTATTTTAACAAAATATTGAACCTTCTTGAATGTTTGGATTAAAAAGAAGAAGAAGAAACTTGGTCAGGAATGTAACATGCTATACGTTTCTTTAAAACTTCTGATAAGAAATAATGTCCAACGTTAGAAATCAAGATTTAACGGAACATGGTGGTCGCATTGCCAAGAGAACTGCAAGGTGAACAATTCACCCAAGTGATGAGCGAATATGATTCATTGATTTGTAAGAGCTCAAGTCACAATATAAAATAGCCACAATATGTCATGTAAACCGGTTATTCAATCACTAAAATGCATGTACACAAATTTGGTCATAGACATGATCATAGGCAAAGTAACGTGTAGGGCACCAAGTAATACCCCGAAACTCTAGTTTACATAATGACATGGCAATCATATCATTTTCCACATCATATATTGTAGTTTATTCAAAAAAAGGATTTCCCATGGAAGTGGTTCAACCGCCACTCCTGCCAGCAATCACCCATTGAATCCAACAGTCACCATCACAGCACTCGCAGCCACATGATCAGTGCCACCGCAGTTCGGTCATTGCCACAGTGCTGCCTGAATCACCTAGTAGCATTGTCCATCCTACTAAGTATCTTGCTTTCCGTGTTGAATCTAGATTCTGGTTATATCACGCCCGAACACAAAAGTTGTAGCCCAGTTAATCGCCACATAGAATCTATTCCTCCAGCTCAAGACTCGTGTTAAATATGCTGAGCGCCATATAAACCAACTGGTGAATCCAGCCAAAGCTAAGCCTTTTCCGTCCTGAAAATAGATAAGCTACACAGGTAAGCTATCTTAACTTAAAGCTCAAGAGAGTTGGCATAGAAGTGGCTTGAAATTCACCTTGCTCTGTCTGAGGTCGACGAGAGCCTTGTATCTCCCAAGAGTTGCCATGCTTCCTAAATGCTTGTACACGAATGGATCCTCGTATTTATATTCTTTTGCACCGTTGGCGCGTCCTCCACCAGCTTTACCAATTTTGTTCAACAAATTCGCCAGATACTTTCCTTGCCTCTCTGCAACCTTCAAATATTTGAAATAGATATGCATAAAGGTCTAGTACCACACCAGTAACACTATATCACCAGTATCCACCACTTAACAATAGACTGTAAAATCTGAAATCACTTTTTAAGAGAAAAGAACTAAATTCAACTTACTACCATGATTCAAAGCCTATGGACTTTCACATGCATGGGGATCTACAGGTCTACAACTACTCTCTGTACTACATTAGCAGTTAGCACAAGTTATTCTTCAAACAGTTCCTAACCTGGGCCAAGGCTGGAAGGGTTGGTTTTCCAGTACTTTCAACAAAACCGCTACAATCACCAATTGAATACACATCCTGGACGGAAGGAACCCGCAGCCACTCGTCAACACCAACCCTGCAATCAGAGAAACTCTAATATGATATGCCATTTCAAACGCATGCTTAACAATTTGGGTAGTGAAAAGAGGCAGCAAGTGGAAACATGTACCAAAAGCATATTGAAACCTTATGATCGACAAAGCAAAAGGCCATTGATAGCAAACAAATATATATGGTAGGCAAATGGAAATTTTTTAAACAGGGGATAGAAGAAGTTAAATGTTAAAAGTTCAACAGAAGATACCAAAGTTTATGAAAATTTGCAAGGTTTTAAGATGAAAATCAGAAGAACCACCACAAGGTTAGATTCATGAGAAACTTCTGTAGTTGAGATGAGGAAGAAATCCATTTTGATAAAAGCAAATAAGGTATTACCTTCCACCAGGAGCTTTTGAAAGTGGCAAGGAGTTCACCAAAGGTGATGGACCAACACCGGTAGACCATACCAGCAGCCCATAAGGAACCTCGGTGCCATCATTAAGAATTATCTTCTGAGCTTTGACATCCTTGACGATCCCACGGACAAGACGAACTCCTGACTGAGAGAAACAATCAAATGAATCATGAACATTCCTGAGATTCAATGGGAAATTAACTTTAGCAGTCATTCCAATACCATGGATTAGCATTTAAAGTTGCCATTACATAAGATCAATGCTTAAAAATTATCCCTCAAAAAACAGAAATCTTTGGTCCACCTGTAGTAGGGAGAAGATACCAACACAAACAGTAGAAACTGGGCTTCTGGGCTTCAATTTTGCTTTCACTAATTACTAGAAAGACATTTTTACACATCTAAAGGCAGACCAGACATTCCAGTATGAGAATAGGCGGGCACTATGAAAAACTAGAACAAGCTTAATAACAGCCAATAGGTTCTTTTATGAATAAAATATCTCTTACCTTTGTCAGCTGTTTTGTAGCATAGTGCCGCAAGCGATCATCAAATGATGATAATATCTCATTTGCCTGTGAAGACAAGAACACTACTCAATTTCCATACTTTCTTTCAAAAAGATTTGGTTAAGTCTGAAATGGTAATCTACTTTCCTGTTACAATAAACAGTTGACAGCTCCTCAAAAAAAAACAATTGACGGCTTTTAAGTTTTTGCATGGACTGCATTATATCTAATTATTTTGTAAAAGTATTTAACAAGGTTGAATCCCATGGCAAAGATTTAATGGACAAACCTCAATCAAGGTAACATGAATATAATTTTTCACATGGGAATATCTTTGTCGAACATCTCTCTGAATGAAGTCACTAAGTTCACCACTAAACTCAACTCCCGTGGGACCACCTCCTACAACAACACAGTGTAGGAGTCTGCTTTTCTCTTCCTCAGAAACACCTGCCCCCAGCCAAAAATCCATGAGTGAAATATACAACGAGAGCTCACATCAAATTATTGTTAGTCTCAAGTAATTAAATTTAAAATCTAACTGCAGTACATACCAGGAACATCCGACAGCATCAAGTTTAGGAGCAGCTTCCTGCGGATTTCCTGGGCATGGTAGACTTCACGAAGAAAAATTGCATGTTCTTCTACACCCTGTATTCCAAAAGTGGTTGGCTTTGCTCCCAATGCAATTACCAACTTGTCGTATGAAATTTCAAATTTCCATGGCTTCAAGGGTTCTGCTCCATCGGTTACAGTCTCGCATTGCACCTTCATTTCCCAAAACCAAAATTTCTTGCATTGTAAAATCCAAATAATCTCCAAGATTTTGAATATTTTATCCACCAATAATAGGCTAGTCTTGTAACTCTATATGCATCACAGTGTAGCACTTTCCCACTAACATACATTCTTCGAGTCTTCACCTAGACATAATCTTCGAATCAAATAATTTGTTAAAACTTAAAACTAAGACACTTTCAGTTGAAAAATCATACTTCCCCAAAGATTTACAATACATAAACTAAATAATTCATATTTTCCATTCCGGAAAAGAGAAACTTTAATTAAATAACAATTACCCATGTCATGCTTTACGCAAAAGATTCAAACTTTACCCAAAAAGTTACTAAATCTAGAGATACCCAATTCACTATTCACAAACATATTTTCCACGAAAACCTAAAACCCCAAAAAGCACAAGACGTACCAAATGCTTATCAGGTTCGAGGCCAACACAATTAGAAAGAAAGAAATACGACCCGGGTTCGCGAGATATTGCAGGTTGGATCCTCCCGATTGGCTCCGCGACGGACCTAAACTCCAGAGTCCCAACGCAGGTGGATGCCAACAGAGGCGTGAAGACCATATGGTTCCTAGGCGACACGCAAACGACGTCGTATATATCGGTGTCCAAGCCTTTCATGAGCCGGCACCCGGCCCAACCCGTGCCCAAGACCACCACCCGCGGCTTCTCGCCGGGCTTCGTGGGGCCCAGACCCGAGTACTGGATCGGCGGCTGAGGAGCCGGAGTCTCATGGATCGGAGCCGGCTCCGAGCTGAAGCGCGAGAGCAGAGTGTAAGAAAATGGGTCTGAAATTCTGGGTTTGGTCACTGATCTGGCGGCGGCTGAGACTTGGATGAGGCTTCTGAACCAAGCCATAGTGTAGGATTACGGCGTCGTCTAGTGAAATGGATATTGGGAGCAGAGAGTGATCTACAGCACATATACGTGAAGCTTTGAAGAAGGAGAAGAAGCTTCCAACAATATCGGGTGTCGTTTTCTGCTGCTGTGCTAAATTTGTGGCAGAGTGTTTACAGCTTGTAAACGTGGCAGTTTCCAACTGTTACACCTGTCGACACGAAGCATTTGCTTGGGCAAAACGTTTTGGATGACCTTAATTCTATTGGTCCCGTTTCTAGTGTTTTCTTTGTAAATTTAGAGAAACAATCCACACCTTAACCAGGTTGAATTATAATACGGTTTTTTTTGTCTTTTTTTATAAATAAAGGTGGAATTTGCACTTTACAATATTAACAATTCCATATCCCTAGCTAGCTTTAGAAGGAAACATGAATTTGGAATACGTATCAACTTTTCCAAATTAATAAGTTTGGAATATATATATATATATATATATATATATANNTATATATATATATATATCAACTTTTTCAGTTTTCAATATAATTCGTTACACAATTTGAAACCCGCACAATTAAATTTTTGAGTCATCTTCAAGTGAATCCGCCATGGCCGTGTTAAGTTCATACATACAATGCAAAACAAGAGCCATGTAAGCACAAATTTTGGTTAAGCCAATTAAAGAAAACGAAAACATGTTTATATATTATAGAGCAATATGTGCCTCTTCAACCATAGCTAGCCTTTTCGGCCACCGCGGCCCCCAGCCTTGGCTCTAGAGAAGGAGGAGGAGGGATCATGCCCACGATTAGCAGTTGGGTCACTGTAGTCGTCTGTCCTCACCATCAAAGATCTACCCTCCATGGCCACTGCCACCTCATCATCTATTAACAGTGTAACCAAACACACCAGCAACACACAAAACAAAGAAAAAAACTAATTATTAGCCTTCATTACATAATCTTTAGTCCATGAAATCATCCCACACATATATTTATTGCCGAACTGTGAATTTAATCAATGGTTTAGATTCACAGTTTAACAACATAACTCTTACGTTGACATACAATCTGACAACATACATAACTATATTATATTGGGTCTCAATTAGTCTGTGACACTAGTGTCCTAATTAAGCACCACTAGCAAATATAGAATGCATATAAAAGAGACAAACATATAGGGATGCATGAGATGAGAGACCGTAAGGCCAAAAACCAAGCTGGTGTTGCACGCACTTCAAAACCCTCCCCCCATTTTCCAAATTGATTCCAAACTCAAACAACGGATACCTGACGGTGCTCAATGAAAAAAATTAAAAAGATTAATCTTGATCATGATTTAATTAATATTAAGATATTATTGTATATCATAATGAGACAAATGTATGCAGCACTTGAGATTTAATTTCCAACAAAATGATTCTCCTCCTCTATATCTCTAGTTTTTACAGAACTCCTCTATATATACTTGGGTTTGAATAAAATTAAATGGTTTTGGAAATCATGGTTTTTTTCCCCCAACCCATGTCCACAAAACTCAGTTGCTCATCTTTTGCAATTAGTTTTGAGGATATATATATATACCTGAGAATGGAGAAATCAACATGCATGCATACCTGAAAATGGAATGTTGTTCCGGGCAGAGGAGATTAAAGCAAAGGCAAGCAAGAGACACAAGCACAGCCGACTGCCTCCAAATCCCATCTCTCTCTCTCTCTCTCTCTCTCTCTCTCTCTCTCTCTCTCTCTCTCTCTCTTCTCGATCCAGAAGCAGAAGGATATAGAGGGGAGACCAATATCATTGCTGTATTTATACGTTCAACAATATATATATGGCTTTGGTTGAAGATATAAGACGTGGCACAAAGTGATTGCACATTTTTTAAATTAGAGGAGAGGGGTTTCTCACACACACAATCAAGATGTTATGGAGGCTCGAACCTATCAATGCCCTTTTTCACCATGCTAGACCCGTTTAGCAAAGTGATTGCATATTTGTGTAATATTATTATTATAGGACTGTTAGGATAGGAGTTGACGACGATTATAAATCATGGTTGTCACGTTCACACATGAATGAACAAAGGCAAGACCATCTCGTGATTGTGTGTCAGTGCATCTGAAGATCTATGTCCATCGATTTTTAGAGGTCAACGGCGTTGCTGTCCTGAATGACCGCTTCTTTTACCAGAAAAGGAAAAGGCAGCAACTTGTTTTCAAAAGTGGCTTTTTTTAGTCCACGTCTGGCGATGAAGTGCTACAATGTCACCCTAGTACAAAGACAAATATTGGCTTGCCCAAAAAATTGATGACATAACACTAGGGTTAGGAGTGGACACGATTCGGCTTGATTGATTCTACCCCTAAACCATCAACCAAATCGTAGCCGCATCTTCGATTCGGTCCGAACTGATTGATTAGCTGAGTTCAGTTCGGTTTGTTGTTTGGTACCAAACCAATTTGATCTAAAGACTAACCAATTTGATCCAATAATTAAGAGATAAGTCCTCATTCAAGGGCGCCCTCGCTATAGAATGACACGGTGAGGTAATTAAGGGCATCAATTGGGCCTTAGGGTTAGTTGAGTATAAGTTAGGCCTAAATGATTTGGATATAAATTGGGCCTCCAAAAGGATTTGGTTTTTTTTTTTTAAAAAGTAAAATTAATACTACTAATTCAGTTTGGTTAGAACTAAAGGTTTTTTTTTTTAAAGGAACATTTCCTATTGAGAGGGGCGATAACATACTAAACTCACGCACATTACATGGATGCTAGGACTCGAACCCAGAAAATGTAATCGGGGAGCAATTGCTCCAAACCACTACACTAGTGAGTCCTTTGCTTGTAATGGTTAAACCCATAAGTAGAATCAAAACTTTTTTTTTCTTGGTGTCAACACAAATTTTCTGATTATTTCGATTCAATCCTTATGTTCATTAATTCAAATGCCCACCCATACATAACACAGACGAAGAGTTAGCTTCCATTATGCGTTTGAACTTTGCAATGAAGATTTGCATGGAAAGGGAATATGAACCTAGAGAAGTCTATGCAAGAGCTGAAAAGCTTCATCCACTGAGCCTTACCAAGCTACCTGCGAGCAGGGAAGCTTCATCCATTTAAGAAATTAACTTTGCTAAGCATATGGGCTTGATGTAAATAGGTAAAGCACCTATAGCTACAGCCTACAATTGGTTTTACAAGCATATGCTTGACGCTTGCTTGTTGGTTAGTCGACACAATGCTTTAATGGTGAGATCGTCCAAATTGTCACAATTTCCTTTTCTCTTTTGTTTCTTGAGTGACTTGACGGGAATTGGACGGACCTCTTCAAGTGACATATGCTTTCCATTTTGACCTTCGGCCATCAAAGTTAAAACACTAGATTCATATATATGTAGCCATGTATTTCACTAAAAGTTATATTTTTACTTAGCGTCATAATGTTCAGCTTGTGGTTTTGATTGATTCCACGATCACTCATCGTTTTGAAGTCGGCAACCAAAAACAAGCATACAAATTTGATGGTGACAATTCTCAATTCTGACTTCTCTGCCTATTCTTATGGTACTTCATACTATTTTGTGATATGTTTACTCGAAGTAGAAAAAGTTATAAATCGGATGTCAGGAATGAGAGAGAAAATAAATAGATATGAGATCATCAAACCCCCTTAATTGATCTAATTCCTCGCTTTTGTAGATATTCCTCGATTTAGTAATGCCATAATCTCCCCAAGTACATAAATTACTACATTCTACAAATACAAAATCAAAGTACATGTGATGATGCTTATGATCATCTTTTCTTAAATCCATATTTCTTTCTTTCATAAAAGAGGTCGGTTTTGGCACTGCCTAAATTTACAATCTTTGGACATCCATCCCTATCCTTCTCTTGTTGTGTACACTCTTTGCAATAGTAGGCATCTGAAATTCCAACTCCCCCACAGATAACGCACCGGCCTTGAAAAGATCCGTAGTTGCATTCATCACAAACCCTCACAAGTGTGCAAGGACGAACGTAGGAATCACAGATGACGCACTTGCCATCACACTTCTCGCACAGCCGCCCAATGGCGATCCCAGGTTGCTTCCGGCACATAATCAGATCAGGGTGATGCTTGGCCATCCCTCGCTATTTTGTATTGACCTGCATAGACATGCCCATGTTGGATGGTCTTATTAGCATTTGAATATGGAAATTTTTCTATAAATGAATGAATTTAGAGAAGCTAGACTACAAAACACAGGCAGGACCAACATCTAGAACAACCGAAAAGCCAACATAGAGAAACGAACAAGCACACAACCTGCCACTCAAGTAGGGAACAAAGTCACGCCAATGCATAGGAACAAACAATAGAACAAAACAGACCCCATCAGAAGCAGATACAAAACCGAAGTCACATGGGCAGACGCCATTCTTGCAGAATGACCAAGTTCAGAGGAGAGCAAGTAATCTGCAGCGAACATGAATGCAATCAAATGGTGGCCTCAATAGACTTGAAGACATCAAATGGAGGAAAGGGACCCTTTTTTTTTATTCAAATTTGGAATTTATATGAAACAAAGCTCAAACATTAAAGTACTAATTAAAAATCAAATACATGACGATTAATATATTCTCTGTCACACAGTCTAATACAAAATAACATGTCAGTAACTATATGTTGACATAATGTAAATCCGAACACCCATTTAACGATGTCAACCCGAACACTCATTTAACATGTTGCTCGTTGTTAGACTGTCAATATTTTGCTCTAAAGATGCCCAACAAAGTATTTCTTGAATCAAGAAAACATTGCCCAATACATTACCACAAATACAGAGAACTTTGTGCAGACAGAGCACGTTAAGTTTACACGAGCCATCAAATAATGCAACAATCACAAAGCATGATAAGAACATCAATCAAATTCAAAAGCAAAAACATTTTCTTTTCAATTGCCAACGCCTAAGCCACAAATTTTGGAGAAAAAACAAAAACCCAAATACCAAAAACAATTTCTTTTCAATACTAACCACATCAAATTTTAAAATATATATATAAAGAAATTATAAACCAAACTCACAAAACGAAGATAACATAAATAAAGTATCTGGCAGAGGGCTAACCTGCGCCACAGACAGTAGGCTTAGTTGTCCTCAACTTCTCCGAGGTGCTAACTGGCGCCGGTGTTTAGCAAATTTAGTAC